TTCTTCACCGCAACGAACAACAGAAGCAAAGACGCACCGGGACCATACGCAGTCAGCCCTTGTGTCACTGGCGTGTGGACCCAAGACGTACCACGGCTTGTTGGCCCCACATGTCATTAGGGCCGGATGCTAACTCATCCACCGAGCCTTATCTCAACATCACCATCCATGCGCTGCCACGTCACCTCCATATCCCGTCGTCGTTGCCTGCCTTCACCGACCTAGACTCCTCCTATGTTATCTACATCAGAATCCCCTAAAGCACCCTCCAACAAATATATATTTGCATTGAGCACCCCAATAAGGACTAAAACGTAGTTACAAACTAACAACCAACCACCTCACAACGGCATAAACAAAAATCACAAAACTTCCAGGGACCCGCCCGTGCGACGCCCGCCGAGACCCCATTATTAAAGCCAAACCGTCTTTACCGTAACGGCACCACTTCCCCGTCTTCCTTCCCTTCGCGCGCACGCCTCCACCCCTGCGATTTCGTCTAGCACCTCCGCGGCGCGCGCGCCCATGGCGACCCACGCCGGCGATTCCGCCGCGGGAGAGGAGTCCTCGGCGATGCGCCGCCTCCGCCGCCTCTCCCTGCACCTCCTCCAGCCCGCCGCCCCACCAGCCCCAGGCGATCAGCTGGCCCTCGCGGCGTGCGCGGGGGCGCGGGCGCGCCGCGTGGAGGGGGGCGCGGACGTGGCGGCTGCGCTCGCGGCGTACCTCCGGGGCCGGCACCGCGCGACGCAGATGCGGCTGTTCGACTTCTTCCGGGCGCGGCCCGACCTGCAGACGCCCGTCGAGCTGGCCACGGCCGCGCACCGCGAGCTCTGCTACCGCCAGCTGTGCGCGCTCGTGCGCGAGGCCGGGGTGCGCCCGCTCACGCTCATGGACAGCGACCCCGCGGAGTACTTCGCCGTCATGGAGGCCGCCGGCGGGGCCGACATCTCCCTCGGCGTCAAGCTCGGCGTCCAGTACAGGTAGGTGGGTGTTATTAGGATCGCGTCGCCCCTCGTGATCTTGGGTTCTTGGCTGCTTTGGTAGAGTAATTTGTATGTTTCAGTTGATAGCGATGCTTCCACAGTCCACATGTTTCATGTCGGTGGGTGGTGGAGTTAGATCAGTGTCCATTGGTGTTGGTTGTTGGTTAATCAGCACTGTAGAGGGCTTACGGCTAAAAATACGTGGTAATTAACTTTGGTAGGTAATGACGGTTACGAACAAAAATTATCTGCCTGCACTTCCAATTCGTTGTAACATTTTAGGCTGTATGACTTTTGTCTGCCTGCTTTAAAGAAAGCCGTAAATTTTCTATATAACATGACCGATCATAGGGGACAGGGTACATAGACCATGCTACCTAATTTATGGGCCAATTGAACCGATCCAGCTGTCTGTACAAATACCTAGCAACCTTTTCTTTATGGACTTCACATGCAATCTGTTGTCACATTCAAAAGGATTCTAAGGATGCTTACTGCTGTGAGAGCGAGGTTGGGTCTATCAGTATCTGAATTGAACTATTCTCCATCAGAGCCTCACCTGTATTAGTGCGAGTGGTTTTCAGGGATAGAGTTTATGAAAACAGAGTTTGAGATATTTTTCCTTTCCATTATTTCCCCTTCTTTTACTGTGATGAAATTTTTATTTTGGATGTACATAGGATTTTAGTCCCCTTTTGTGAATGGGGCCTGCTTAACATATTACCATGAAGATGCATTAATTACTCAGGACAATGATTTGTTCAATCCCATGAAAAAATGTACTACTAACTTAACCTTCTTGCTAATGCAGCCTCTGGGGTGGTTCTGTCATAAATCTAGGAACCAAAAAGCACAGAGATAAGTACTTTGATGGAATTGACAATTTGGATTATCCAGGCTGTTTTGCAATGACAGAACTACATCATGGTTAGGTTCTCCACTTATTTATATCCACTAATTAGTGCTGTCTCTATTCTTTTGTTGCTTAGCAATTTATCAACGTACAGTACAGCTACAGTGTCTCAGTACTGTTGCGTTGTTTGTTTTGAATGGCTCACAGTAGGGCTTGTACCCAGCACCTAACGCACTGTTACATATTCAAAATAATTGACACTAAATTCCCCTTACCATTATTACTCTTTTCCTGCAAATAGGATCGAATGTCCAAGCCCTACAGACTACCGCTACATTTGATCCTGTCACTGATGAATTCATTATTAACACCCCAAATGATGGAGCTATTAAGTGGTGGATTGGCAATGCTGCGGTTCATGGAAAATTTGCTACTGTTTTTGCAAGGTTAATTTTACCCCTTCAAGGAAAAGGAGGGGAACCTGCTGATATGGGCATCCATGCATTTATCGTCCCCATACGGGACCTTGAAACTCATGCTGTTCTTCCTGGAATCGAGATCAATGATTGTGGGCACAAGATTGGCCTAAATGGTGTAGACAATGGTGCACTGAGATTCCGCTCAGTTAGGATACCCAGAGATAATCTTCTGAATCGGTTCGGTGATGTGTCACGGGATGGAAAATACACAAGCAGTCTGCCCACAATTAACAAAAGATTTGCAGCAACCCTTGGGGAGCTTGTCGGTGGACGAGTTGGCATTGCATATTGTTCAGTGGGTGTTCTCAAAGTCGCAGTAACAATTGCTGTGAGGTATGCTCTTCTGCGCCACCAATTCGGTCCACCTAAGCAGCCCGAGATCAGCGTGTTGGATTATCAGTCTCACCAGAACAAATTAATGCCCATGTTAGCATCGTCATATGCATTTCACTTTGCCACGGTAATGTTAGTGGATAAGTACTCGGAAATGAAGAAAACCAATGATGAGGATCTTATTGCTGATGTACATGTTCTTTCATCTGGGTTGAAAGCCTACATAACTTCATATACAGCGAAGTCTATAAGCATCTGCAGAGAAGCATGTGGTGGCCATGGCTATGCTGCTGTAAATCGTTTTGGAGCTCTGCGCAATGACCATGATATATTCCAAACATTTGAGGGCGACAACACTGTTCTTCTGCAGCAGGTACTGATCAACATCCTTCATAAAAGCCAGCTGATGGCTTGTTTTCAGACTGACAATATTTGACGGGCATGTTTTCTGAAATAAGCTGAGCTCAAGGGAAGTTGGGATCAGTTTCTAAAAATGCTATGAAGTTACTTTTCCTTAAACAATGTGCATCTTCTCATGCTCTTGTAGGTTGCTGGAGATCTCCTGAAGCAATACCAGGAGAAATTTAAGGGAGGGACACTTTCAGTTACCTGGAATTACTTGAGAGACTCCATGGGTACTTACTTGGCCCAGCCTAATCCTGTCACTGCCCGATGGGAGGGCGAAGATCATCTGCGGGATCCTAATTTCCAGCTGGATGCATTCAGAGTGAGTCATTTCTTCCTAGTTACTGAGAGTTCTCTCATGTTCACTTCCAGTACTGATTGGGCAACCTTTCTTCTCAGTACCGAACATCTCGGTTGCTACATAGTGTCGCTGCTCGGCTACAGAAACATAGCAAGACACTTGGAGGTTTTGGTGCGTGGAATAGATGTTTGAATCATTTGCTTACACTTGCAGAATCACACATTGAGTCTGTCATCCTTGCAATGTTCATTGAATCAGTGAAAAGGTAAATTCTTCTAGTGAGTTTCTTCTGATTGCATTTTTGCTCCCGCTTTGGTTCGGATTCTTTGTGCTTCGAATGAATTCTTTTTTTGAATCAAGCCACAAAATCACTGAATAGCAGAACCCAGGGAGTGCTTAGCTCTTTATATTGTTCTGTTATGGACACCGGACTTTAGCTACTTGGAACTCCTTTTTTGTTTTAAGCCTTGCTATCCTAGCTTTTCTGTTTTACTGAACGGGCAAACCACAACAAATAAACTGAAGTTAAACTATATCTAAGGCAACTCATCATTCAGATGTTTCATACCTCTTTTGAAATATTCTGGCTCTTTATTATGACCACAATTGGCAACCACTTACAATGCATATATGCAGTTGCCCTGATGAAAAAACACGGGAAGCATTGAAGCTGGTATGTGACCTTTATGCGCTCGACAGGATCTGGAAAGATATTGGAACATATCGGAATGTGGACTATGTTGCCCCAAACAAAGCTAAGGTGTGTGGTCTCATCTCATACTGCAATTTTAGCTCTAGCTTCACACTGTAACCTGAAGTCCAGAACCTGACAGCAGTACTCCCTTGTATGTCTGCAGGCTATTCATAAGTTGACAGACTACCTCAGTTACCAAGTGAGGCTAGTGGCACGAGAACTCATCGACGCATTTGACCTTCCAGATCTCATCATCCGTGCGCCAATTGGTATGCAATCGGAGGCCTATGCACAGTACACCCAGTATGTTGGCTTCTAGTAGAGTATATACAAGGTCGGATAAGTTCATATATAAGGTATGTAGATAGATGAGCAAATAAGCTTCAGTACTAGTATATGTCAACAGTAATTGTAAAGCACTGGCTCCTTGTGAATAAATTGTCAGATTGTTTTTTGGCTCAATTTGTTTTGAATGAAGATTTTTATCAGTGAGCTAAAAATGGCTATATATACTTAATTTTCACTTGGTTCGATAAATTTCATATGACGTCGCTTATTCTCCATCATTGTAAAAAATAATGCCAGTACCTATGCCATTGCTGCAAGGTGAGTAGGAGATTACATGCTTGCAGAACTCTTGTAAAAAGTAATGCCGGTACCTATGCCATAGCTGCAAATTGAGTAGGAGATTACATGCACGCAGAAATCATGATATCTTGCCTGTTATATCTTTTGTGAAAACGTTTCTCATATGCCTTTCCAAGCATCAGGGCAGGTGATGAAGCTTAAAATCTGCCCAACACGCCGGCATACATAACTGATAACACTAAATCAGTAATATTAGGCCAAAGATTGTACTATAACCTGATTGTTCACAAAATATATACCAAAACACTAGAATTTGTCATCCAGAACAGATAGGAAGAAGTCAAACACCACAATCAACATAATCCTAAGCAAGCTGAGCATTTGGTCCAACTCTCTTATAGTCAGCACAGGCCATCTCATAGTTCTGCTTGAGCTCCTCGTAGCACTTCAGTGATGCCTCTGAGAACTTTGTCAGGCGGTCAAGAACCGCCGTTAGTCTTGACTGCAGCCCTTCAGCTGATGCTACACTCCCACTCTTCGCCGCCTCCTGCTCGCTATTGTTCTCCAGCATCCCACATTCCTGCGACTCGCTTCTGGGCTTGTTCTGCTCGTCGTGGTGCTCAAACGAGTCACGGAGGAGCTGCATCACATCTTTGAGGGACTTGCATAGCTCGTCAGCAGCAGGAGAGATTCTGTCATGGCGAGCCAGTCCCTGCAGAGGATGAATATGGGAGGGAGACGGCCTGGCGAGGAGGAAGGAGACCTTGCGCTTGCGCCTGTGCCGATCCTGGGGTGGCTGCAGGAGACACTTCTGGAGCCATGCATTGAGGGGCCTCGACATACGATTTGTGAGCAGTGACCCAGTTTCTGAAGCTGGAGGAGAAGCTGTCCATCTCATTCCACAGATGCATTGCCGCCTGGCGGCGGTGCTCACCTTGATGCACCGGGGTTGAGTTTTTCACATGGTATGCCAATGTGATCGTGATGAACTGTTTGTGGTGACATTCCAGCATCAATTTCCACATTCTGATTAGCCTATATGAAGTCAGATCAAGGTTAGTAGACAATAAATGTCAAAAACAGGATTTTGATCAGCTAAGACTGAAGGTAGAATTATGAGCCATCAGAATGTTTCAGCAAAACAAGGTAATTTCTGAGATTAGGTTGTGAACTATAATCTTCTGATTCTCAGTATTGTACTATCATTCTCCAAAAATAAATTTGGAGTGATATTGACTGTTAAAATATTTACTAAACTTGGTGTCATATTAACCAGAGCTGTGGAATCGGCATGTAATTGACCATTTTGTACCTATTAATAGAATGGCCCGCAACTCTCCTATGTGTTCGAGAAAAAAAAAATCTTTACTAACATATACCGAAAAAAAATGAAACAGGAAGATTGCATTCAAAATTGTGGTATAAGAAATGAAATACTGTCTATCAGGTATATACCCTTGAATTAGCTCGACAAGCTGTGGCTGCAGTTCTTCATCCCTTATCTTCTCAATTCTTTTGGAGATTGCATCAACAGCTTGAATCGCAACAGATACCCTGGAATGGAGGTCCTTCACAACAGCTCTAGTCTTATCAATCAGCTGCGCATTTAGGCCTCGTGCAAATTGGCGCCGGAGGAGGTTACATTTCTCATCATAGGCCTTTCTAACATTTTCACTTGCCTACATAACCAAGTAAGGTGGTAAGACAGTAACAATGATTCGTTATGCCCAGCAAGTGTCCAAACACCTCATAGCCCACACCCTAGTTTCTTTGCTACTCCCTCCATTCCAAATTATAAGATGTTTTGGCTTTTCTAGATACATTGTTTTTACAATGTATTTAGACATAGTGTATATCTAAGTGCATAGCAAAAGCCAAAACGTCTTATAATTTGGAATAGAGAGAGTAGTTAGCACTTAAAGGGCGTACCCAGTGCAGAGAGCTCCCGCTCTGTGCGGGGTCTAGGGAAGGGTGTCAGTGGCAAGCCTTACCCTCGCCTGTGCAATGCGAGGAGACCGCGACTCGAACCCGGGACCTTCCGGTCACAGGCGGTAAGACTCTACCGCTTGCACCAGGCCCGCCCTTCAAATAGAGAGAGTAGTTAGCACTTAGCACACAATAAACGATCTACAAACTACATTTGAACTATCAGATTAAAAATGCAATATTAATAAAGATCATGTGTTACATGTTCTCACTTATCAACCCTTGTGACAATGTACCACTTATCTCAAAAGTAAAGTCATAAGCGCTTCAAGATTAAACACACCAGTTTTTACTTGACATCTATAAAAGAACAGGCATTCCATGTAGAGGTATTCATGAGGCTAGCAAAAGGTTTGAGATTGACAGCATATTTGATGAGCTTGCTGAATATGTATTTATGATGTACCTTGATTTCATCGTATAGTTTTCTCTCCCATGCGTGTAGCCTGTCCAACGTAGAAGAGTGGCTTCCAGATACCATGGCGAATTCCTCAACAAAATCACTATTACTGTCATCCACATCATCTTTAATTATTGATGTCATAAGTGCACTCTTAGATGATGATGAAAGAGATGAGACAGAACGCTTCCATGTGACAACCTTTGAGACATGCTGTGCAGTTTCTACAGAGACACTTAAAATTAGTACTTCAGGAAAACATTATGATAGGGAAGAGAATAATGAAAACACTCCAGTTACCCTGGTTGAGAATAACATCACGATTGCAGCACACTCGAAGTGCTGACACAAATCGAGCAGTAGGTAGCTTGCCTGGAGAACCTATAATTTGGGTAATAAAACAAATTAAAAATTTAATAACAAGATGCTGACACGATCCTGAAAAAGACATAGAAGATATATGTAACACTCATGATTATCACCTGGCATTTTAGCACATATGTCAAGTCTGATCTTCTTGGTTTCAAGCATTCTGGAAACCTCATTTCCTGCTTCAGCTGCACGCATAAACCGGGATTCAATGTCCTTCATGCTCGACACAAAATCTTTGGCTCGATGAGTGATGAACTCTGAAGGATCCTCTGCCTCTGCACATAATTCTTTTTCCATTTCGCTTTCCTCCAACTTTGCAGCAACCTGCTCTGAAGTAGCTTTGGTTGAAGTATCCACCAACTGACTTGGTTTCCTAGTCCCACCTTGCTTTGGCTCTCTTTCCTGCTTAAATGGTGCATTATCATCAGGAAGCTCTGTATGCCTTCTGTCAGACATGATTTCTTCTTCACCTTCTTTCAATGGAACTACTTCAGCTACCCGTGACTCACTTAGACCCTTCAATCTACTGAAGTTCAAGGTTACCCCATTCTCGTTGTTGGAGGAAGAGCTACCAGCAGCATCAATGGGATCAAAGAAGTCCCACGACGTGCATAATTCTGGAGGCAATGGTGGCGGGGGTGGGACAAAAGCTGAGACTGGAGATTCATGGCCCACAAATTCAGCAGCAGATGGATCAATCACAAAGGTCAAAGGAGTGGTTGCTGCTGCTTTCATGCAATGGATTCTTGTTGAGGGCTGAGTAGACAATGGACTTGCTCGATGCGCCGGAGAGGCAAGATTCTCTACTGCACGCGAAGGCGAGGGAGATGCCATAGAGGAATGTGATGGCGACTTATCCACTTCTGAAATGGAGAGTGATGATTCTGGTGAGATCTCAGACTCAGCATACTGCCGCAATGCAGTACCCACGGTACGGAGGGATTGTGTGTAAGATAAGTGCGCTGCTGACAGTGCATCTCTTGAGTCAATGGCTTGTCTGATATGGCGCATCCGATCCTTGCAAAGAACCAGGGCATCCTCTCCAGTGGCTTTGGAAGGAGAAGAACCCATTGAGTTCCACTAAACTGCAGATTCCCTACTGTATACTAGAGACCAGTAAATTCATCACAGTCCAACTACAGATAAAAGCTTCCACCAATTAGAAATCTTGCTTATGATAAGCAGGTCTTTGCTCCTCTGATCCTATCAACAGAAAAAAAAAACAATATGTGTCAGACTGCAGAACATATAAATGCAGATGCAGAAATGAATTTAACAGCATTGACCTAAATCAAACTTCAGAGCACTTGAATAAGACAATAACTAAATACTCAATATAGGTCCACCGTCCACAAAAGTTGGCCACATCTGCAGCCAACTTGAGCTGAACAGGAACATTACACAGACTCACAATAGCCATTTCAGGCAGATAATTAATCTGGTAAACAAAAGATAAAAGGGCAGAGTAATTGACATTGATCGAAAACATCAGAGTAGGACATGGCACAGGTCTAAGAACCAACCAATCATACAGCAAGGGAAATAAGGCAAAGAAACTCTTTTGTTGGTTCACAAGACAACCTCAAGCGCTAAACACTGACAACACATCAGAGCCAATGGTCAAAGTGTATTTCTTGAAAGCCTGTGCCATGATTAAAGCAAGCAGTCTTATGATTAAAGCAAGCAGGGGCTGTGCCAGCAGATAAGCAGGCACACCAGAGTGAGAAAAGGAACCAGCAAAGCGAGACCTTTCCCCAATTCCAACCTCTGATCAAGCAACTGTATCATATAGTGAGAGAGAGAAAAAACAATAAAACCCATTATACTACCTCAAAAGCAGCACTTCAGCACCATGGTAATCTTTCCAATGCAGCCCCCAAATCCCCAGGTGATGACCAGGGCACTACGCAAATCCGGTTCTTGAAAGTTGAATTATCCTACATTCCTACCAGCGACGGAATGGGCAAAACGGTAGTTGGGGCAAAAATGTTTCCCCCGCTACGCCTCATCCTCAGTAGAATGTGGTTTTCAGTCCAGACCAAGGCGCCCCAGAAATCAGCAAGGGAGGAACCTCTCTAGAACCCGAATCAAGGGATCCCCGGATCAACCAAATGCAGCGCACCAGAGAATCCAAATCAGACCAAAGAATCCGCCCTGGGATTGAACCTAAAACCCGCCCTAAACCACCAGGGCTTTAGCACAGTAAAGAACCCTACTTTCCTACCTACCCCACCGGATTCCACAGTCCAGTAGCCTCGAACTCAACAATCCCAGCCCAACAACTAATCAATACGACGACGACGAGAGAAGCTCACTCACCGAAACCCCGTGGCGGCGGCGACTCCAGGACGGACGCGGCAATGCGGCCGCCGCGGCTCGATCCCGGGCGGGCAGGGCGGTGGGTCGCTCACGTGCGCACTGTAGCAGGCAGGCAGGCACAGGGTTTTGTTGGTTCTAGGCGAGGGGAGGCGTCTGGTGGTGTGACCGTGTGAGGCACAGAGCACTAGAGCAGGGAGGCAGGGGTGGGTGGAAGTGGAACCAGGCGAATGGGAGCAATGGGGGAGTAATGGAGGTGCGGGGGTGGGAGTGTGGGACGCAGGAATCTCGAATTGCTGATAGTGGGGTGTACTGGGCTACTGGCTACTGGCTACTGGCGCTGCAGTGCAGTAGGAGAAGATCTTTATTTCTTTTTTTTTTCCCTTTTTGCCTTTTGATTCGAGGTGCAAACACAGGGGTGTTTTAGGTTTTACCGTCTCCTAATCAACCAAATTTTTGGTATGTTCAAACTTTAGTTAACAAATCGATTGCTATAGATTCGATCAACTTTGGTCACCAAAATTTATTACTAAGAAACAAAAACACATCTTAGAAATTGGGCATGTTTTGCATAAAAAGATGATAAATGGATTTACATTAATCCTACAAGTTTCTTTTTGCGTGATAGAATCCACGTTTTATCGAGTTATACAAACAAACGTTAAGTTCACCACGAGCTAAGTATAACTCAATCAGTTAAGTCCTCGGTGATGAAACCTGCTCACCCGGTTTGACCTGGTTGTTCACAATTTTTTTTTTAAAATATTTTAGGATCTTATGATGCATTTTTTTAGTGTAGACAATGTGTTCTTTGCTTATAGTGACTACGTCTCTCTAGATATACCGACTCCATGTTTCAAAGGTGATTATAGGGTGCAGTGTGTGCACGCATAGTGTGTTTATATGTTTTAATGGTTGCCAATGTATCCGTTGGTAGCGAGGCCCTGTTCGCTGGTCTGAAACTTGGCTGAAACTAGCTGAAAAACACTGTTCCAGCTGAAAAAAAGAAGCCGAACAAGCCGAATATGGGGTAAGCCGAACAGGGCTACGTCAATTGAAATATGCCAGCTCAATATTTTAGACGTGTTTGTTAGTTACGGCGTGTGTACATGAATTCATAGAGTAAGTATTTGCAATTATACCTGTAAGTACATGCCGTTTCCGACGGGCTGCAAAACAAATAGCCAGTAAAACACGTGTCAATTGTTGGTCAAATTATATGTGGTAAAAAATCGGCAAACCATTGGTCAATGCGACACAATATTCTACTGGCAGCTTTTAAAAAAAAAATTCTACTGGCTACCGCAGCGAACCACTCCCAAGTTTAAGCGAGTGGTTCTGTCACGGACTCAGGACAGCGGACTAGTGAACTAGTGACTGAACACAGTGGACAATTATTGCTCAAACCCTAATACTAATGAGAACCTCAAGTACGCATGGATTTGGATGGGCGCGTGGGGCCCACACATCTAACCAGCCAACAGGCCACTATGGTGATCATGCGACCTTTTTCACTCTAGCGGACGCTAAAAAATAAATCTGATGCCCACATAGCAGACAAAAATACATCAGTCGAACCATCTTATGACAAATGAGCAAGAAAAAATAAAAGGCAGCCACAAACCCTAGCTTTTACACAAAATGGATGGAGTTAGTAAAGAATCTCTTGTACATGCTATTGTTCTGGTAGCTGGTATCGATACATGGGTCACACAAATCAATTACAGTACAGAACAGAAACAAAATTTAAAATGCAAAAAGGGTGAATCCTCAATCCTCATCTCATGTTCAGTCTGAGTCAGAATCTTGAGCAGTTGAAGATCTAACCCTCCTATTCTTAGACTCGCTTTCTTCATCATTGTCGTCATCATCTTTCTTCTCATCAATTATCCCTAGAATTTGTTTTTGGACGTTAGCACATTTGTCATCCCAAAATTGTCAAGGACTGCCGTATAGTTTTCATGGTTACCTTTCATCTTGAGAATATTTTCCAATGCTCTTGTTGAAAAATCATCTTTACTTCCGAGATCTTGAAACCCGACTAACCGGTCAACAGCAATACCCTTCCTGAAATAGGACAGGAGTCATAGTGTAGTGAAGCAGGAAGATTGCAATAAACATTATCAAATAGGCAGGAGAAATGAAAAACTTGTGCACTTACTTGAACAATATTACACATGGCAGTGTTTTGATTGCCAGTTTGGCCACAAAGAATGGAGCATTCTACAGTGAGTTATAGATAACATTAGACTTCACGATTTATTAAAAGAAAGTACTTTATAGCCAAGTGGTAGTATACACACTTCAGCATCAAGCTTGACGAATTTTGTTCCCACATAGATTGGGGCAAGGGCCTTCAAATGTTTATCCATGATCCTAGCAAATATTCACAGAAAACCATTTCAATAAGTACCAACAGCAAAAAAATTATCTCAAAAAATAAGAAAGACAAGTTATGGCATACTTGCAACGATAAAATTCATGGTGATAGAAATGGCATATCACTTTTTCACTGCCAGTAACCTCCCCAAGGAAGTCCCCTTCAGTTATCTCCCTGTATTCACCGTGACCCTGCCTTTTTAGCACTTCACGCTTCTCAGCCTCTTTCTGTTGCATATAGAGCTTTCATCAGGAATAGAAAGAACATGACAGTTGCATAAGCTTCATAAGTGAAAGATGGAGGTCAGTACCTTAAGGGCAGCAATTCTCTCCGCGTGCAACTTCTCAAGTTCAGGGTCCTGGTGAAAAGTTCCATGAATTTGACAACCCACAATATGACACAATACTATGTGCCGTACAAATAAGACAAATACAAGGGATAAGTAAATAAACTTTTTCTGCTTCTACTCACATCCAACAACTCATCAAGATCAACTTCATCATGACTTGCAGGTGCTGCTTGAGCCTTGTCTTTAGTCACCATTTCCTAAGATGATGTGCAGCAATGTCAGCATGACAAAATTAAAATCCATAATGGAACACAAAGAAAACATGCTCCATTTACAATGTCAGAAGTGAAATTCAAAGGGAAAAAAGGGGAAACATTCTCTATACCATAATGGAAAGTCGAAAACGACTGAAAATGATAGAAACAAAATGGGGAGTCTGCCAACCACAGTACAATGATGGAAACAAAACAATGATACAACAAATAAACAATTAATGTGGGTTAACAGAACCGCAAAAAAATGTCAAAAATAACAAAATTGATATATGAAGTTTTCCATGATAGCCAGGCAATGTTATATGCAGGAGTCAATTGGGTCCATCTTCTGCTATATAAAGGGGTAAAAAGTGAGTGAGGGGGCTTATAAAAAAAAACAAATTTCACCAATACATGGTCCTCCAACAGGCTAAGAGTTCTAAACTCTACCAATTTCAAGCAATTCCTAGCTCATGCTCACTGCTGAAATAAGCCCTTTAACTAAAAACCCACTGCCATACACAAACCACCGGAGACAATGCAAAGCACCACAAGTACAATATTAATGATTAAATACACTATCCCCGAGACCAAACATTATAAAACAAGGAAGTTCACTTATAACATATTTTTGAGCAGATTGAGAACTCAAGAAGAGCAATTTGAATACCAGGACTCACAACAGATACAACTCTGGTCCCACGACAGGAAAATTCAGTTACATATTTCCTAAAGCACACTCCACACCACGCAAAATCCAGTACATCCAGCTAGACAAAGCTCGTTTGCACATACCCATGAAATGGTTTGTTCACAAGAAGTACTTGTGCAT